TTATGGAAATTCCAAGAATTATGTAATCACAAGGGTGAGATATGTCTCAATGAATAATGACTGTAGTATTAACTGGAGTTATTTCTTCATCTAGAGTAAGAAGATATTACCTGGGAATCTGCCCTGACATACATAGTAGAACTAATGAACTGTGCCTGAATTAAGAAAGGAAGGTACTAGAATTATTATAATATTAGCTTTGCAAGAGGTAGCATTTTGCTCATAACTTTGTTGGCTGGGCCTAGCTCCTGGGAGTTGCTTAGGAAGGGTTTATCTAATGCCTAACAAGTCTATATGTTATCTTTTTTTAATTAAAAAAATTGTACTATTTATCCATCCATCCATCCATCCATCCATCCATCCATCCATCCATCCAGACAGACAGACAGACAGTGTCTTATGTAGCCTTGTTTGCTCTGTTGAACTGGCTGGTCTCAAATCCATAGAGATCTTCCTGTCTCTGCCTCCTGAGTGCCAGGTTACAGGTACATGCCAGCTTATATCATGTGTTATAAATTTAAAATCTGAACAGTAGTCACAAGTCTTGGCTTGTGAACCTTTGAGGAAGTACATTTGAGTTGGATGAAGCTTCATTTCTTCTTTTTTTTTTTTAAACTGTTCTCATTTATTTTTTTAAGATTTACGTATTTATTACATATACAGTGTTCTGTCTACACGCCAGAAGAGGGCACCAGATTGAATTGCAGATGGTTGTGAGCCACCATGTGGTTGCTGGGAATTGAACTCAGGACCTCTGGAAGACCAGCCAGTGCTCTTAACCTCTGAGCCATCTCTACTTCGAAGCTTCATTTCTGATATTCCTGTCTTGATGATTTTGTGAAGAAGGTGTATAAGGGCCGTTACAATGTTCGTTTATTTTTTGTCCTTAAATTGCCGGACAGTTTTAATGGACATGAGAGACTATAAATGATGAACGAACAGTCAGTTATTTACTATTGGACGTTTAAGTTTAAAATTTTGTCATATGCTTCGAAGAAGGAATTTTTCTTAAGCATTTTGTGGGAGTGGGGAGAGAGATGACTTTTCAAGAAGTAGTAATTTAGAAAAAGGAGCTACTAGCGAAGGACTGCAGGGTTACATAGCTGTGAAGGTGACAGGAGACAGCACAACCGATGCCGCTCTTTGGGTAGCCAACTGTCCTGGCCATGGCCAGTAGCTATCAGATCTTCCCTAAGTAACCGCCCCACAAACACCCACCTTGCAGCATGTAGTAGAGCTACCCTTCACTTGGAGTTTTGTCTTTTACTACTAAGGAATGAGTGAGTCACTACAACTGCTTCTGTCTCCTAATTACTGTTTAGAAATTATAACTGCATTTAACACCTTACACATGTAGCTACATGTTGATGTGTTTAAATTTCCTGTGCTTTTGGGAAGTTTTTGTTTTTTATATTAGAATACTGTAAAATGCTAGATTCAAGACATTGCATATTGCATAAAGACTAACATAGTGACATCTCTCAGTTTAAGTGACATTACCAGTCTGCTCCTGAATGACTGTGTCCTATCCTAGCCCACTGCTGGCTTGAGGAACCATCAACCTCATTACCCTTATTTCTCTTTATAGTACATTAGGTATGCAAATATCTCTAAATAATGCATTGTTAAACTTTATGTATTATGTAACATACAAATGATTTCATGGATCCTTTATTACTGTATATGTACTTTTACAGTATAGTAGACATGGCAATAAATCAGTAATACTTTGAGATTCTTTTTTTGGTTGATATGCATACTTTTTTTCACTTCACTGTTTCATAATGCTAAGTGATAAACATGATGTAATTAATTCTGTAGAGATATTGTGTTTTGTTTCTTTTGCTACTACAAGCAGTATTGTGGTAAGTTTTCCTCCTCTCTCTATAGTCAGACAAAATTGTTAGGAAATTTCTCTTTTTTCCTTTGTCTGGTATAATACTGGGGATTGTATGTGCCAGGCAAGTGCTCTACTATTGAGCTTTGCCCCAGCTCCATGATCTTTTCTGATTACATCCTAACACAAACATAGCATAGTTATTATAGCCACATCTTTCTATTTTAGTCAGTATTTGCCAACTCTACATTTTTAATGCCTTAATTTCCAACTTCTATGTGCTTTACTTATTTAGATTTGTTACCTATGATAAGTATGTGCCTAGATTTTTGAATACAGTATTTTTAACCTGAAACTTCAGTGTTTTTTTGTTGTTGTTGTTGTTGTCCCCTGTAGGGGTGAGCCCACAATATTGTCCACGCCCAAAGGGGCGTGGACAGGGGGATGGGCACAGGTGAGGATAAAAGGAAGTGAAAGAAAAAGCACTCTCTCTTGGAAGCCTGTCATGTTCCCAGAGCTTCTATTCCTGTTTATTTTGCAAGTATATTGAATAAAAATATTAGACCTCTTTTTCAGGTAGCGTTATGTCCATCTTCATTTGGTGTCAGAAGTGGGATTGGGTGTGGACAATATTGTTGGCTCACCCCTACAGTCCCCTGTGCTGCCCCCCCCATCAAGGTTTCTCTGTGTAGTCCTGGAACTGGCTCTGTAGACCAGGCTGACCTTGAACTCAGAGATCACCTGCCTCTGCCTCCTGAGTGCTAGGATTAAAGGTGTACATCACCACCACCTCTCAGTTTAGTTAATTTGTTTTTAAAGTTAATGTCTTAAGATTTATTTTTAAGTGTGTGGATCTGTGCATGTGCATATATGTGTACACACGTGAATGCCAGCATCCACAGAGGATCTGGAGTTACAGGAATTTGTGAGCTACCTGGCATGGGTTCTTGGAGTCAGACCTGGGTCTTCGTAGAAGCAGTACTTGCTCTATGGTCTGAGCTGTCTCTCTTGCCCCTAAACTCAGTGTCTTTATTCTCTGGCTTAGTCATCTTTAGCTGTAATAATGTAATTACCACAAAATTTCAGTGGCTGACAGCGGGCAGCCATAGATCTGCAACCTTGGCTGAGTTTAGCTGGGTTTGGTCATAAGCTATGAGCTGTCTACAGTTAGGTGTCATTTTGGGGCCAGCAGCCTCCTTGGGTGTACATTTCTCATGCTGCTATGCTGTCCAAGAGAATGTAGGCAAACTTGGTGCTGTACAGCTTCCAGGTAGGTGTAGTCAGTGAATGTTGTTACACCTCCCAAGTAAGATAAATGCTGGATTTTGCAGAAATACTGCAGAATACTTAGTGTGTGAAATTGTGTATTTTGAAATGCTACTCTTTTTTGTTTGTTTGTTTGTTTTTTGTGACATTTGGCTGCCTTTCCCTGTTGTTATTCAGCATGTTCTATCTCTTAGTTTCCAAGGAGGGAAATCAAATCCAGTAAACGTAATGCAGTACCATCAAGAAGTGTATTATCGTGAGAAACTTTGGAAGTGTACCTGAAGCTAACGTGGGATTATGTGTGATTACACGCTACTCATTTCCTTGGGATAACTGGGTTATCTGGAAATGATAATCACGGGCTAATGCACAGATAAAGGAGAAAGCCTGTGGGCTGGGGTCAGGTGACAGGATGGCAGAATTATGATTATATACTGCTGCTAACTACAGTGCAGGCAGCATGTGGTGCGTGCACATGCTGATGCAGTTTCTACATTGTGTAAATGTGTGCTGCTTATGCATCTTACATAATCTGAGTACAGTATATGGATATAACAGACTGAATCTTTAAAAGTGTAACCCTAACTCTGATTTAAAGCTTTGTTTTTTTGAGTGATTTAGAAATCAAGTGTCACTTTCATGATTTCAGGAAGTAGTTTACTGGTTTATGAAGGAAGTTATGCAAGTGTGCATTTTGTATTGAGTTGCAGAGCTGTAAAATTATGTATTAGATTTAGGAAGGCAGCCGGGCGGTGGTGGCGCACACCTTTAATCCCAGCACTCGGGAGGCAGAGGCAGGCGGATCTCTGTGAGTTCGAGGCCGGGCTGGACAGCCTCCAAAACAATACAGAGAAACCCTGTCTTGTAAAAACCAAAAAAAAGAAAAAAAATAGATTTAGGAAGGCATTTATGTATTCATGTTTTTGTTTAAATATACCGCTAGTACTGTGCCTCATCTAAAAATGTACAAATCAATTGAGGAAGATTTTTATAATGCAGATCTTAGTCAAGGGTCAAGTGTGTTTTTGTATTGATACCCACACTAATACAAAGCAGTGCTTTATATTACACTTGAGTGAAGAGAACTAAAGTCTAAAAATTTCATTTTATTTTAGAAAGAAACTTAGAAAACTTAGAAAGAATGCCTTGAAAAAGATATGTGCTGTACGTATTTAATAAATGTGAACTCATATACTGAGGAAATGGGAATCATTAGAGAAAGTTTATAGCACTAACTTTTGTGGTCATTATTTGAGACCTGTATAAATACTTTGTATGCAATCAAAATCGAGTTAGCAGGCATGATATGCTTTCTTTACCCTAGGTAGAACAGTCTTCTTCTTCTTGACTTCATTAGTTGGGAATAGAGAAGGAATAACTTTAGTACTGAAGACTGAAGATAACAAGCTTTTTTTTTGTTTTGTTTTTCGAGGTAGGGTTTCTCTGTGGCTTTGGAGCCTATCCTGGAACTAGCTCTTGTAGACCAGGCTGGTCTCGAACTCACAGAGATTCACCTGCCTCTGCCTCCTGAGTGCTGGGATTAAAGGCCTGTGCCATCATTGCCTGGCTAACAACAAGCTTTTTTATGGCAGTTGTCTTCTACATACTAAATAAGCTTGTGTATGGCAATTGCCTTCTACATACTAAGCTCCTGTATGACAGTTGTCTTTTACATACTAAGCATCTTCGTGGTGGTTGCTTTCTTGAAGGTTCATGTTTTAGAAAGAGAGACCTGTGAATTGGATGGTGATTAGTAGCAATCTTTTATTTAAAAGAGAATGACTAGGAGTTCTATGGATAGTAGAAAAAGCTGAATTAAATTTATTTTCATTTCCTTTTTGAAAACTTTAAACATTGACATTTAGAAAATCTGATTTCTTTCTTTTTTTGTTTCCAGAACAGGCTATGTATTCCTCTGAGAAACCCTGGACAGTAGATTTTGGTTTAATACTGGATTGGTACAACACACAGAGACTTTTCCAGTCATGAGTAAGTGTCCTGTTTGGTTTAATTTCTGCTGCCTCTGGAGCATTTGTAGTATTTACTTAACAAAAAAAAAGTAAGAAGCATATTACTATTATGTCACTTCCTGAGAGAATAATTTGATTCTCTCCATTGCTGTGGCCTGTCTCTCTCAAAGGTATGAGAGATACCTTTTGGTATTTGGTTTATGCTAAGAGGTTAGATGTGATGAGGGAACCTAGCCCTAGCTTATTAGCTGATGGATTCTATCACTTCAGAGCTATTGACTTTCTATTTTCTACTGGGAAGTGATTCTAGAAGTATAATAGAGAATATTGGAGCTGACCATAACTAGGAGAGGTTTTATTGTATAAAGTTTCATCCTTGGGCAACATGGGTTAACATATTTATATAAAACTACAAAAAATCTATCAGTGCTTTTAATGGAGCAAGAAAACAAGGATATCTTAGAAGGTTTGAAAAAAATTTCTTCTCTGTTTTAAGAGGACAGAATATGTCATATTTTCTGTTCACTTCTGCCTATGAGTAGAACTGGGTTTTATTGTTGTTAACTGCTTACTTTTAGAGTGGGAAGAAAGAATTGGGGTTTTATTATAAATAGGGTCTTGAGTGGCTGTTGGAAGTATATACTTTATGATTATGGAAACTCTGGGATAATGTGAGCATTTCCTTATTAGAATGTTAGTTTATACTTTTTTGTGTATTATTTACATTGGTTGTGTTTACCTTAATATGAATTAAGATAGCTTTTCTCATTTTTATTAAAGTTTATTTTTAAAGTGAAATATTTGGATCTTTCTAATAAAGATAATTGCAGAAAGTCACCTTTGATTGTTAAAACATCTGCTGTGCCTTTTTTGGTTGGAGTACTTTAAATAAGCAGGATTAGTTGCTAGAGGCAGAGGCTACGTGTGCTAATTCAGTTTCATTCATGAACTTTTGTATGAGGTTATCTCATAGAACCCCAGCTCTAGTGAAGATGGTCATGAGTTCATGAAAATTAGGATGGAAAATTAAACTTCTCTTTGTAGTTTTAGAGTTCTATTAGCATCATTGTTACATGAGTTTCTGAGGATAGGTAACTTGTATTTTCGCTTTCTGATTTCATTGTTTTGTACATGCAGAAGTCAGATTTTTGTAAGCTTGAAGGTAGAGGTGGAATGGGGGCCTGATAGGTGGTATTGTAACATGTTTTGTTTTAACAGTTCGATGGTTAATATTTTATTTAAAATTGGTTCTCTTTTTAAATGTCTATTAATTTTTTTCTCATTTTTGCGTATTCTACAATTTTTTTTTAAACACGCCCTAGTGACTCTGAAGATCTCTTAGAGCTTAATTTGAGTCCTTTTTGGATCATTCACTACTTTTTCAGGTTTGTCTGCAGTGAGTTTTTGATTATTGGTATTGTTGTTTTGTTCATTGTTCTCTATAACTTAGCAGACACACTTTAATGGACTTTATGTTTTCCTTTGATGTCCTTGCGGTCTAGTAGATATGTCATTGTCTCTGTCCGGCTTTAGAATTCACAGATCAGAATTGGGTCTGTGTTAGTGAACCAGAGCCTCAGACCCGTGGTGGTATTAGAGATGTCACAGTCTCAGTGCTGGCATTAGGTCAGCATCCTCCCTTAGACTATGCTTCTGTACAGTTGGCAGAAGCCTTTCTGTGTGTTTTACAGTGAGGAAAAGCACTAGGCCATCCCGGTTTGAATTGAAGAGCCTGGATGTTGACCCTGCTTGTATTTACAGCTGCCCTAAGACACAGTTTCCTGCCACCTTTCCTGTCCTGGGACAGAGTAGCTTCACTTGTCTCACGTGATTTTTGAGTCATATAGATGTGCTAACATGCTTTGGGGGCACAGCTGTGTCATTTTAGTGCTTTGTCTTATTTCATTTGCTAAAATATTTGCTTCTGTGTGTCTTTTGTGAGAAGCAGAGGCCCAAAGAATGAAGAATGTCACCAGGGTTTCACTGTCAGCGTTAGCATAAAGTCAGACTCCGTATATGACGTTTGAGGCTATTTTAAAAGTCAGTCTTTGGTTATCATCCTAGTTCCTACTGTCCCTCTCTCACCTCCTGTTCCTCTTCACTGCCAGGCGAGCCTTTTGCACTTGTAACATGTTCAGTGAACTTTAAGGTTCATCTGCTTGCTGCTTTCTTTCCCTGATCCGTGTGCTCTTTGAGGGCAAACACTATTTTTGACATTTAATTTAATCTGTACTAAATAAATATTACAGATATTTGTGTCTTTAGTGTATGGTAGCTCTTCTGTGATTATGTCTTAGATGAAATTTGAGGAGTTCTTCCAAGAGGACTGTGTGCAGAGGGTGGTAGATGGAACAGTATGAAAAGGTAAGGTCGACTCCAGAGAGGTGCACTGAGTGGCCTAATAGTCTAGCATAGAGATAGATGGGAACAGACACCGGGAAAGAAAAGTCTGGAGAGAGGTAGTCAGGCTCCTAGTCCTGCATATAGGACTTACAGTGTTAAAGATTTCAGTTATGGGAGTGACTATAGATTTCATTCTGGAGAAATTACTCAGAAATATACATGCTTTTGTTGTAAATTTGAAAAGTTGGTTATCTAGAAGAGTATTTGCTTTCACTAACTTGTTCTTAGACTTTGGTTCTTTTCAAACTTTCTTTGGATTAGACTGGGTTACATTTCCTTTTCTTGACAATTTGATGATATTATGTAGAAAAAGAAGTTTTTTTTTTTTTTTTTTTTGGTTTTTCGAGACAAGGCTTCTCTGTATTGTTTTGGAGGGTGTCCTGGAACGTGCTCTGTAGACCAGGCTGGCCTCGAATTCACAGAGATCCACCTGCCTCTGCCTCCCAAGTCCTGAGATTAAAGGCATGTGCCACCAACGTCTGGCCAAGAAGTTGTTCTTGAATAGACTCGCAATAAATGTAGTCTAAGGAGTGTTACAGTGGTTATGTGCTGTAGAAAAAAATCCACAGGACATGTAAAGTGATTTAACTATATTTGTCATTAAATCTAGATGGGATTTCTAAACCTAGATGTGGGTGAGAATCATTGATTATTCTTTATTAATGATTTTCTTTAATATTTGTGTAGGTATCAGAAGAAAGGTAGGATATTTAGATTTGTGAGTAGCTTTACCTGGCAGGTTCTCCAGCTCATGTCATGGAACACATAGAACATAGTAATTTTTGAACAGCACATGGGATAAATGGATGAAGGTTGGAGGCAACCTACCTTGATACTGCAGGCCTGGCCATCATGTGTCCTCAGCAAGGCAGGGTTTTATCGCCCTGGCTTAGCCCTGAAATGACTGTTGGAATGCCCAAGCCCTTAAGGACTTAAGAATTTGTTGAATGCTTTGTTTTTGGGCTCTCATTCCTACCAATATGTATTCTAGCAAATTCTGAGATGAATACTTCTGATGCTATTATGATATTGTGAATCTCATTGTGGATTGTTGACTTGATTAGTCAACAAAAAGGTTTTGATTTTTAGCACTTAAATTGTTACTGCTTTTTATATTTGCATTTTGTAGTTTACGTTTATTCGGTTTATTTTATCATGTCATGTAAAGCCAAAAATGAAAAAGAGGAGTGGGTATCTTAGATTATTAACAGCTATTATCGCAAAGAAAGTTCCTATACATGGCAGTGTTTAGTGATTATATTGATGGGTGTGTTTAAAACAAAACAAAGCAAAAAGCACAGAAGTAAAAGAAATTAAGTTATACTTAATTTTCTTTTTCAAAGCTTCGTGTTGAAACCCTGTTTTGTCTGTTTTTTTTTTGTTGTTGTTGTTGTCGTCGTCCCCCCCCCTTGGTTTCTCTGTGGCTTTGGAACCTGTCCTGGAACTAGCTCTTGTAGCCCAGACTGGTCTCGAACTCACAGAGATCCGCCTGCCTCTGCCTCCTAAGTGCTGGGATTAAAGGTGTGTGCCACCACCACCCGGCTGTTTTGTCTGTTTTTATTTATTTATTTATTTGTTTTGGTTTTACGAGACAGGGTTTCTCTGTATTGTTTTGGAGGCTGTCGGACCAGCCCGGCCTTGAACTCACAGAGATCCGCCTGCCTCTGCCTCCCAAGTGCTGGGATTAAAGGCGTGAGTCACCACCGCCCGGCTTGCCTGTTTTTAAATTTTAATTTCTACTGTATTTTATTTTACTTTTGCCAGGAAAGTTTTCCTTGAAATCGGCTGGGAAGCTAAAAGAAAATTTAAGTTGAGTTGCATTTTCAGTACTGGTGAATCTATCTTAATCACTGAGCCAGCATCTTCATTGTTGTTGCAGCGACTCTTAATGTAAGAGATGAATTTGTAGATGTTTGGGGCTTTGCAGACGGCGGTTAATGGAGGAAGTTTTTGCATTTTGTGGCAGGGGAAAGTAGGGTGTGGTACAGCTCCTGTGGAGAATGATGTCTCCTACCCAAATTGACCACAGTAAACCAAAGTGGTGGCAGTGATGAGTGTCGGCAGACTCTGCTTCTCAGGAAGTGTGTGCTGCTGGCTGCTGAATTAAACGCACTTCATTGTGTGACTCCACCCACTGAATATGAATGCACTTGGCTTTTAGCTCATCTATCTTCTTGATGTAGGAAAGTGAATAGCTCTTAATTTGATACTGTCATGGACTAAATAGAGCCAAATGCAGTTTTATACAGTATATTCAGCTGTGACATTTTAAAGTTTTTAGGAGATAGCTTATTTTTTTTGTTTCTAATTTTGATACTATTACCTAACTATATTATAATTATAAAAATAGTGCCCCTTTCCCATAGACCTGTGGCTAGGATTTACTAGTTGTTTATAGTCTCCTCCTCTCGATTTTCATGTTCTTCTCCTTCCCTCTTCTCTCTTTCATACACTTCTATATGCAAGACATGTATTTATGATTGAAGTGTTTTTGATGAAATTCTGGGTTTCTTTGATTAAAAGTCATTTAGAGTTTTAGTATAAGCATAAATTGCTAAAGTAGTAGTAGCTTTTCCAGTTTTTAGAATTACTTTATTAGTCAAAATTACAAGACAT